GTTTTTTTTTTTTTTGTTTTTTTTTCTCCCCCCAAAGCTCTGTGTTTTTGGTGCTGTACTGTTGGAAATAAGGTATGAAATGAGATTAGTTCCAAGTCAGTCCTGTGCTGTTTGTGAGGCTAATTCTGTTTCCAGACTTCCCTTGGGTACTGCAATAATCTGTTGTCTTTAGAGCTGACAGGAAGTCCTGTGCTCCCAGGTGTCATGCATGACAGAGTCTGTTTCTGGATCCTGCAGTGGTGTACCAGTACCAGCTCGCTTCATAGAGAAAGTCTTCCCTGTTGCATATAGAAGCTTATCAAAGAATTAAGATGGCTTTATATTTCATCTGTGCCTCCCACACATTGGTGTCCTCTGGAAGCCAGAATTGTCAGCAGGGCAGTTCAGAATGACCTGCCCAAACAGCTACAACTCTGTAATCTCCTCAGTTCTGTGTAGTTCTCTTCACTCCCATGTACCCATTTTTTCCTTCAGTTATACACCCGGAGACGTATTTGTCATGTTAAACCTTTAGCTGCCTTTGCAGTCCTGGTGCTAAGTCACAGTGGTAGAAACAACACCCTGTCTGATGTACTGTGCTAAAATGCATCGAGCTCTGTACCAAACCAGTTTGATGGCTAATACAGTCCAAGTGAGCTAATTTAAGGTAAACTCATGCATCTTCATGCTCAGTTTCTATGACAGGAGAATTTTTTTTCCAGCAAGCTTCTGGGATGTAAAAGCCCAGAGTTGAGAAGATAAAGTTTCACTGAGTCAATCATTGACATAATTCAAAATTACAGTTGGGCATACATATCTGCAAAATTAGTTTTTTCCATTGTCTGAGTATAGGCAAATAAGGCCTCATTTCAGTCAGCTTTTTACAGGTCTTAAAACCAAACAGTCTTTTCTCCAGGTCGTATACCAGATTCCAGCTTGAGCCTGCTGGATCCCTTATTAATACATAAGCTAGGGAGAGAAATATAGTGGGAATTCTAGTCAGAAACCAGTAACAGTTTCAAGACCCTTATTTTTCCACTAGGTGGTTCCAAAAGTTTAAACAAAAACAGATTTTAAAAAAACCTACTTTTTTTTTTTTTTTTTAAGCTAGAAATCCAATATAACAACAGTGAAACAAGGACTTGTTCCAGCATTGCACAATGTTTTTAATCCTTTCAACACCTTGCAGACAGTTGTTTGACACTAGTATGATGCCATTTGCCCCAGAAGAGTTTGGCCTGCTTTGGTCAGGGTCCATAATGATCAAAATTAAAGTTGTGGACTAATTAATCGGGACAGAGGTACCACATAAGTCCCATTGCTTTTCATTCTCAGTCTTCATTTAAAAATAACCAGAGTCCATCCTGATCTGAATTATTCCTGTTCTAGATAAAGAGAAAAGTTGAATCTGTATGTGAGAACCTTCACTGGTCCCCTTAAATGTCAATGTGCCTAAAAATCTCCTTCTGGTAAGCCACTTAAACCTAGACTTATTCTACTATTTTGAGATTCATGTGAGTCACCTTCATTAGTTACACTTGTGCAAGGTGCACAGCGGGGCCTGTGGGCAAGAATTGTCTGGGTGCACTCACAGGACTTTGCACAGTGAGTCTCAGGTTTGGCTTTATTGAGTGCACGGACAACGGCCATGTGGAAGGTTCATCCTAATCCTTATGGATTAGGATCTCACTCATCACTGATTTTTTTCTGTTAGGAAGTGCAAAGTTACCCTACATTTTTCTCTTGTCTGATACTTTGATGTGAGCTCATGTTTCAGCCTTTCACCCAATCATGGCAAGAATTAGTTTTCTCGTCCTTTTTCACCTTTTATTTTATATAGATGTCTGACATTTAAATATCCTGAATTCTTACTTTCTTTTGGAAAATTTGCTTGAAATCATGCAGTAGATTTAGAAGATATTGTGACCAGGACACAGAGGCAGATGCCCAGATGGTGTAAACTTACAAATTGGTTATAAAAAATATTATAACTTCTTTTGGCTTCAGTGATGCTTTATTTGGAAGAAATTTAGCTCCTCTGAATTAATAATCTAATGTTCGTTAGTATTCTGTGGAAAAATGTTTTTATATGCCTTCTTTTTATCTTGACCACCCTATTACATTTCTTTTATCAGGTTTGGACCACATCTCTGTGTCATAGTTATTCCCCTGTGGTAATACCATAGTGAAATAAACAAACAAACAAAAAACCACAAACAACAACAAAAAACCCCCAACAAAACAATTAGGACTAATGTTTTGACTCTACAAAGTTTCAGATACTTAACTTGATAAAAGATCTTCCTCATGGATATATTTTGGGTATACTGAAGCACATTAATGCCCAACAGCTTTAAAATGTTTTCATGGTTATATAATACAAAATAAGACTTCAACTGTGAATTTTATTTTCCAGTAAATTTGGTCATTGTTGATTTTAAAGCATATTAGATCATCCACAAATAGGAGGCCATTAGAACATCAGGCTGTTTAGGAGCAAGTGGTGGACAGTTTTGGAGAACTTCTCTTTCTCCTTGGCATGTTTTTATGATAATTCAGATATTGGAGATGATAATTTACAACCCTGCTGGTCCTATACCAGAGACCTTGTGTGATGGAATTTATATCACTTTTCCTTTTAGACATTTAAACCACATGTCATTCTAGAAAAACGAGGACAGAGGTCCAACAAAGGAGTGATTTATTTTCTGTTAAAATACTAGCTACATTAAAACCACATGTTATTAAGTACTGTATAACCAAACCATGCTCAGAAGAAGGCTTACGACACTAAAGCTTGCTTAAAATGTTACTTTTTTTTTTTTCTTTTTTTTCCCCTCAAAATGCTTTGGCAGTGAGTATATTAACAGACTTTACCTGAGCACAGTACATTGGCTATAATTTTCCCTTGACAAAACAAGTTATTAAAGTACCAGAGTACAAATTAATTCAGTTCCTTATTATTTTTCTCACATTTCTGGATGGTTGAACTTTTCTGTGTGTTTTACGTAACATTGCATCTCTGTGCATATCCCTCCCAAAACAGCATAATACTATTAAGGTTGTTAAAATTGAAACATGGTTTTTCAAAGTGAAACAACTTGTATTTTGGCCATTTTACCAACGTGAACTCTCATAATGCTCCTGTGAGAAGCATAAACTAATGTGCAGAAGTAGTGCACGCAGATCCAAGACCAGAAGGGAAATCAATACAAAGATTAGAATTAAGGGGCCCTGATGTCCTCCTTATGCTACACATCCACACCAGATTGCCTAGGACTTGAAGGGAATTTTTTTATGCTAATGTTGTCAGGTGAGTTGTTCAAAGGTCAGTGGAGATGACCAGTGAGGGGTTCATCCTGTACAAAGGACTTCTGCTGTTGCACCAAGCTTCCATGCTGGTCTTCTGCATGTAGGTCTGGATGATACTGGCACAGAGAGGGTGCTTGTGGGACTGGGAATTTAGCTGTCTCACCCATGTGCTCCTGGGGACTGTTAGATGCCAAACCCCTGTCAGGATATGCTGGTGTCAAATGGGGAAGTGAAAGTGTTGCCTCACTGTTCAGATGCTCTTCAGTGTACAACTTGCATGGACTAGAAGGCCTGTCCTCATGCTTTCTAGGAACTGCACAAAACATTCATGAATCACCACAACACCGCTGTCTCACAGGTAATTGCTGGACAGTTTTAGCCCTAGAAAGGAATTAGCCAGTTACTGTCAGACAGTCTTTAAACAAAGCAGGGATCAGAAGCAGCAAATTTCTCTGCTTGTATGCTTGAGATCATTCTAATTCAGATGTTATAGTCACATCTTGAAATCGTTAATACTACTTAAAGCTTGCCTGGTATTCTCATTTGTCCTGAAATTACTTAGCTCAAGCAGATCCTGAAGTATTGGTTCTGCATCAGCAACATGCCAAAAATTGTAACGACTTTCAACAAAAAACCCTATATTGTATATGTCTTTTCTCAGCCTTTGGCTGTCTAATTCAAATGTAGTATATGTATTAGACAATGTAATATATTAAACTATAGAAAGTCTACTGAATTAAAGCTGTATAGTTTACTGCCTTTTCTTAGATGCATTCCATTACCAAGTAATGCAGGAGATGGTGCAAGAAAGCACACAGTGGACAAAAAAACACCATGTGGTAGGCTTTGTCTTGTGCCACATCTAAATCATAAACTATTACAGTAAATTTTAGCATAATATGAGTTAAGCATGTCCAAAATTATTATTGAATCACTTCCCTAACAAGTCCCTTTGCTGTACAGTGTGTGTATATATATATATATGGGGTTTTTTTACCAGCCTGGTTGGCACATCTGTAGTCACAACTGAGATTGCTGCCTAACTGAAGTGAATGGGATGCAAACTCCCAGTAGGAAATACAAGGCAGCTATACTCCTGCTGCATGGTTTGCCTGTCCTAAGGCGCTAGAAAACTACTGCTGCCACCAGCACTGAAAGAATATTGTGGGGCACAAAGTGGCAGCTAGTGCCATGTTAAATTGGTAGGAGAAGCCCACTTGGGGCTTCTGCCTTTTGGCAGCAGTTGGAACAGTGAGGTTGTCTCTCCAGGCATCACTCCATCTCATCTCCCAGTTCTGTCCTTTCTCTCTGTGCTTCACTTTGTGGCCTCTTGTCTTTGAGGTGGCAACATTTCAGGTTTGTTTACTCTGCTTAGCAGCGTGAGCACATTTAGGCAAACCAAAAAGACTCACAGGTTAGATAGGCAGTCAAAGGCTGGAGGAAGAACATGATTATACTAGTGATTCACATAGGATACTCTGCAAAAAGTGTTACTATGATGCAGGTGAATGAGGTGAATTAGAAGTTACTGTCTTCTGTTGGTTTTGTTTCCTAAAAAAAATGCAAGTAATTGTACATTTTCCTTGATTATAATTCCAGTTCTCTTTATGTGGGTCTAGGAGCCTTCTTCCTTTTTCTTAATTTAGGTTATTGCTTATCTTTTCTTTATATTGCATCATCCAACTGACTTGTCTTCTCCCTTTCTCTAGATGTTTCCAGATGTGTGGCTGAGAGGAAGTACACCCAGGAGCAAGCTCGCAAGGAATTTCAACAAGTGTTTATCCCAGAATGCAATGATGATGGCACATACAGTCAGGTTGAAAATTTTTCATTCAGTATCTTGCATGACTGGAAAGTCAGAATATGTGTTTGCAGAAGAGGCAAATGTAATAAGGGAAATGTAATTTCAAAATGAAATGTAATTTGTCCTAACACTGATGTTAAAAAATGGAAGGAAAATTCATGTTTTGTACTGAGTCCTTGTTCTTTTTTTCATAGTTGGCCCACAAAAGAGCCAAATATTACTGTTCATGTGATACACTCCCTGTTCTTCTAGGCTGAGGCAGCTGAGTCATTCTTGTAGCCCCCTGAATACTCATCAGAGGGTGAAATGCTTAGAATTTCTGATCTCTTCCTGTTCCCAACCAGAAATCTTGTGACCAGAGTCCATAACTTAGTGCTAAAGTATAAATAATACAGAATTTTTCTCTGTTCTCAGCTGAATTTCTGGACAAGCATATGGTCTGAAACTCATTTACTTAGGTTAGTTCGTGGAGGTCATAGGGGATGCAGTTAGAAGCTTATCCTGTGATATATATCCCAATCAAGATCACCTTCTGCTGCCTCTGTACTGTATTTCGCTTGTGGAGTTGTGCAGATGACAGTCTGCCTCGTTTTAAGCATGGTGAAGGAAGTGGTAGTGACCCGCAGGAAATGCAATGCAATTGATTTCTAAGAGGAATTCCAAGAGTTTCCTTTCTGACAGCTTGGGATATGAATAATGCTGGCAGAAGCGCTCTGTCCTGCTCCTTCAGTGGGTGGAACAATATGTTCTGTATATGGAAAAAAACTTGAGATTGCTTGCTTCAGGAACAGTTTATATGTCCCTTGAGGAACTTTGCTGTGAGGTTTTCATAACACCTGCACCTCAGTCTTCTGAAACAGGGAGTAAACAAACACATATTTCAATAGTTTTCTCTTCCATTGGGTTCTGAAGGACCTACCGTTCTTTGCTTGAAATAAACTCTTCTTTATGCTAAAGAATCATATTTAGGACTGAGATTAGGTGCATTATGGTTTAGTGTTCTAGCTTTTGCCAGTATAGTTTGCTGGACTAGTCTTTTGTACTCATGTGTCATGAACACTGTAGGATAACAGACGTATGTCTGACAAACTGCATGTGGGTCATGTCGTTTCTGACAGGTTCAGTGCCATAGTTACACTGGATACTGCTGGTGTGTCACTCCCAATGGTCGTCCTATCAGTGGTACTGCTGTGGCCCACAAAACTCCCCGGTGCCCAGGTAAGACTTATCTGGCAGGCCAGATTATGACATTGTCTCATGAACAGTAGAGTTTATCTGTGGCATCCGATTAGACTTAAGGAAAAAAAAGAATTATTCACTGGAATAGTGGTTCCACCTAGAAATGGGTGCTGACGGAAGCTGTGGACTCCCCATCCTTGGGATTTGCAAAACTCAACTGGACAAGGCTCTGAGAAAGTTGGTCTAGCTTTTAAGCTTTCCCTGAATGAGTTCTGAGGTCACTGCCACCTCAAACTTTCCTGGGATTCTATGATCCATCTACTTTATTTGCACTATAATCTAGCTATTGAAGGGATTTTCTGCAATGATTATTTGTGTTGTATTTATGTGTCAATATATGAAACCATCCAGCTGAGTTGCTGAGGTAATCCTTTAGGTTTAAACTCTTTTGTTTGTAAACTCATTGCAAAAAAATTCAGAGGGCTTTGCCTTTTTAATATTTTAAGTATTTAGAGTATAGAAAAACAACTCCACATTCCAAAAAAATATGCAGTGTGAATGTCCTGATTTGTAACATAGCCCAATGAAAGAACTCCCACAGCAAATCCCATGAATGAGCAAATCCAGAGGAGAAATAAAAATGAAACAAAGCATGAAGGACATAATGGAATCATTGTCTGTATAAATTAATTGTCAAATAAAACTCATTGCCATGTGTGTGCCCTTTGTTTTTCGTCAGGACAGTTAACAGGTTCACTGTTTTTTAGGAATTTGCTTCTGACCATTGGCATTGATAATAAATATAAATCCCAAATGTATGAACAGTTACTAGAATTGCTGTTCACCTTCCTTGAGGCTGACAGAATTGCGCAGAAATACTTGAGCTCTATGTATTGCGTTTTTGTTCGTGCTGCAGCACCGTTCACTGTCAGAGAGCAGAAGAAATAACTTTAAAAAGCTAACCTGGTAACGTAAATGAAGCTGAAAAAAAGTGGATCAGAGCCTTTGAGGGAATTCACCTGGTCTGATCCACTTCAATTGTTCAAGCACTATATTGATGTTTTTAATAAATAGATGGAGGAAGGGAAAGAACGCTGAGAAAGTTTCAACAAAGATTATAAAAAGTTAATTCCACTTTTAAGGTCTGTCTTGTTGAAATGATTTGCAGAATCTTTCTCGCATCTTGCCTGTAAGTGAACTTTAGCCAGAAAGTACTCTTCAGACTAATCCTTTTGATCCAGTCTGAAAAGTCATTGTGGAATGAGTCAATTGTGAAAAATAATATATAATGTTCAGAAGCCTTAAAATAGAGGAAAATGTCCATTCATTTTAGGGTAATTATTGTTTATAACTGGATTACATCTTCTGAAGACACATGACTAGGATATCATTTATGTGCTTCAGTGTATTCTTGAAGAGAGGTGTTTTGCATGTCCAGAGCCAGGGCTTCCCTGAAAGCATGTGCTCGTTGCTTTCTCTGCAATATCAATTTGTAGCTTCCTCACTTTCACTGACATCAGTGAAAAGGGGTTATGCTGGTGCTGAAAGTTCAACAAGTAATTCTTTAGTAGATGTGTCACAGCATATGGCACTATGTTTGGCTCAAAACGTTAGTTACTGTACTTTCACTTTTTCTGTTTGTATTCAGTATTATCAGGGAGAAGCTGCAGTGTAGATCCAGGTTAATTGATAGATTAATATGAGAATTATTCTGTATGTACAGGAACCAAACCTTAGTTCCTTTCAAAGGTATATTCATGTGCCTAGCAGATAAACTGCCAGACTGCTTCAGCCCATTTTTGGAAGGGTGGGAAGGGAAGTTAGTTTTACAGAAATGCTAAGGAGAAGGTGAGAGTAGCACTTGATTTTAATTTAGTAGCTCAAAGATAAATAGACTACTCCAGGGCCCAGGTGAGTATGCAGAGTCTGATTTTGCTCCGTGGAAGATCGTGGGTAATTTTTCAATTGTTATGAGACTTTTTGGTATTATCTCTGCACATTTCCTCCTTTACTTGTATTAGTGCTTTCATGTTTTACTGCTGATCACTTCTCCTTTGTCCTTCAGGAAAGAAGTCCAGCGACAGCAGAGTTTGGAAATAGGTTTGAAGTGCTAGGGGATTTTGCACTAGCAGTCGCTAAGGGCTCTAGTTTTAAGAGGTCTGGAGAAACCTCATTCAGCAAAGGCGGCAGCTGCAGATTTTCTCTGAAATTTATGTGGTATTATAATAAGGCAAAACTTTGCTCTTATTTTGCAGAATTAAAGCCTGAAGCACAACTGCACCCCTCTCCCATTTCCCAGTGTATGTTCAAAATTCCCATCTGTTTAGGATAACAGAGGTTTTTTTTCCCTCAGGACTGTTGATGTTTTCCAGATCACCAATGATTCTCCTTTATACTTTGTCTTTAGTACCACTACGCACAGGAATTATGATCACAATATTAGTGGGTATACTGAAGTTACGTAGATGTACCCCTGTCTTAAATACTTTTTCAGGGTTTATGTTTCTTCCAATACTGTTGTCCTTAGTCAGTCTAATACACTGTGTGCTCGCTAGCCTTGTTACAGGCATTGCCTTGCTGTTTTTTGATATTGCAGGTAGATCTTCTGTAGTGGTGGCATCCTGACATCAGCACATTTATATATTTTCACTTGCTTCTTGTGTATTCTGCAGGCATGATGCTATAGCTATTTCAAAGACATTTATGCAACTTTCTCCGTTTGCATGTGCCAGACTTTTTTTATGCCAGGATCACTTTTGCCACCTTTTCCCTTTAGAGCAGAAGGTGCACAGGCAGTCAAGATGGCAGGTAGAATCAGCTGTGAACATGCTTTTGTAATTATTTTCTCATAGGAAATGTGATACAGTGGAACGTGTGAACATTTCTCTTTTTAATGAAAATGTTCAGCATTTCTTTTCAGTTCTGGGTTGGCTCTTCAGTAATTTCAGATAAAGTTTGAATACATTTCTAATCACCTGTGCTATTCCTAAATTATGGGATAATTTCTTGCCTTTCATTTTCTCCCAGTAGAACCACCTTTGACTTTGGTGAATATCCAGAAATAGGAAAGAAGAGCTGGCAGCCTGGAAGAACTTGGATTTTAATAGAGGAAATATGGAACAGAATTTAGGATGGGAGTTTGGTTTCTTGATTCTGTTCCTTATCTGTGCCTCATGTTTGCTTTACATTATCATGATATTAGATAGGTCAAACAATCAACCTCTAAGTTTATTTAACTGTTAATATTGATTAGTTGCATAACGTGATGCTTCCTAAAGTTATCCAATGTCCTGGGACAGAATAGTGTCACCTATATTTTCTATGTATCTACAATATATGTATTAACAATTTTGTGCTCATTGTGTTGTTCTGGTTGCTCTTTTGAAGCTGTGTTGTTTGCTAGAGACGCAAGGTCTGAAAGGATGAAGGGTATAAGCAGCATTAAAAAATGCAGGACTCCCCAACTGATTTATTTAAAACCTTTGCTTTAATTACTACATCTTTACCTGAAAGAGGCTGTTCTTCCATCCTTTCCAGTTATTCCCACACCAACACTTGTTACTGCTAAAACACACATGATAAATCTCAGAATGCCTTTCTACTCCATGGAAATAATCTCCACTGTTGCAGGAGCAGTGGTGAGGAGAGTAAATCAAACACATTCCCATGACAGCATTAAGAAGAAAGCTTCTTAAAAATGATGAATGTCCCCCAATACTTTCAATAAAGAACGCCAGACATCAGAAAGACGTTTTTACAACTCCCCATTTCTGTTATCAGCACTGCAGGGAACTGCAGAAATTCCACAGGCATGGGGTCCTGGGAAATGGGGCAGAAATTGAGAAGCAGGTGTTAAATTATCATTGGAAAATACAGTGTTAACCTATTGTAGAGTCTTTATGCCATATTAACTCTTCTGGGCTTCTGCCAGTGAGATTGCAGAGGTATGGACACAGGTTTTATTATTCTGTGAAGTAGTTTTGCTACCTTACAATTAAGATGCCGTGATCATCTTTTAAGGCCAAAACACAAGTACTTTTAAGAATTCAGAACTCTTCTGGTCTGTATAGTATTATCACCAGATAATATGATGAAAATGAATATATTTGGGAAGGCAATGAACATTTTTGGTTTACATTATATTGCTTTTGTTAGCTGGAAAAAATATCCATCCTTGAATTATCTAGTTTTTCTGTCCCCATACATAGTACTTTCCCTGTAAATACAGTCAGATACACACATATGTGAACTAAAGAACAACCTGGAAAGTTTACTGTCCTGCTTCTTGATATCTGCATTCAGTGGTTACATATAAAATATTCTTTAGCAGGAATTCAGAAATATATCTAAACTGGAAAATAGTAGACTTGCACCTTCTCTTTAAAAGTCCAGTGACATATGATCATAACTGTAGAAAATGGATATGCTAAAATCACAAACCACAAAACTCGAGTCAAATTCCTTGGGAGATTTATTGTGCCTCAGAAGTTGCTAGACTGAAACTGGGCAGAAATGTGGGTTTTGCAATAAACTAAGGTGTAAATATTTTTGCCTTTTTTTTTTTAATTAATCAGAATCATAAATGTACAGGTGGCTAAGGAAATGTACAATCTAAAATCGTACTAAATTCTTCTTGTTAAAATAATGCTGCTGAATCTGATATCCCTCCTTGCCCTCTCTCCTTCCATAAATATGTTTATTTGGTGATTTGGTTGTTTACAGTGCACTGAAAACTTAGAAGCTGATTGTATTGCCTAACTTTTAGATAAATTGTAAGTTTCTATTTCTGTTTCTTGCTTAGCTGAAAATGTGAGCATTCATCGTGAGTATTGAAGATACAGTTTCCTAGAAACATGCAAATACAACTTCCTGTCACCATTTAAGCTAGAAGTACTTCTACCTGAAATACATTCAGAAAATGGTACAACAAAGCTGATACAAGCTCAATAAGCCCTCCTAACCTCCAGCTTTGAGACAAGAAAAGTTTCTGTTGCATAAATTGAAAATTTTAGGTGAAACTATGTGAAGGGTGCAGATTTCCCTTTTTAGGAAATTTTATTAATATTTTTGTTAGCTTCCTAAGTCTATAAAAAAAATAGCATTATCCCAGTGAACCTAATTTTCCTAGCATTAATCTAATTTCATATTGATTCAGTATGATAAAGTTAGCCTTTGTAAATGTCACTTTTCCTCCATCCATCAATTTTCCATCAAAATTTGGGGTAAAAAAAGGAAATAATAGAAAAAAGAATTCATTTCTTCCTGACTGTACATGAATATCATATAGTCGTTATTTCTCACCATTTCACATACAAATGGAGTAATCTGAAGGCACCTTGGTGTTAATTAAATCTGGAAAGATTTTTCTGCTTTTGGTTTAAGATGTGGAATATTATAGACATTTCACCAGTGTGTTAAATTGCTTTGCTATAAACTGAATTTTCAGTTCAATTTATAATAGTAGTTCTGAATGTACATACAGAGATAACACTGATGTCAAACTGAGGCTTTACTTAACACTCTTTAGTGTAAAGTATCTTTCAGTAGCAGTTCATCATACACATTCTCCATGCAGAGACCTTATTGCTACTCACAAATTGGAGTGAAACACTTTAGTATGGATGAGAGTCAGTCCTAAAATATCTGTATTTGCAAGAGAATTATAATTATACTCCTATGCATCAAAATTAAATTGAGAAACTACAGAGTTAATTGTAACTGGATGAAATTAGAGGAAAGATTGGATCACTGGTATTTAGTGCAATTAGAAAAAAACCTATAATTTTGTATGCAGTACTTCCTTAAACTGGAACATCTTATTTTAGTTCAGGCTGAGCCTCTTATCAAATTCAAGCCAAGCACCAAGAAGCTTCAGTCTTCTGGCTTCAGCTAGCAAAAGTGCAAGAATCTGCCTCCTTTTCAGAGTGAACATCACAGATTAGTATTGCAGTCTGTTTACAGCAAGCTATCCCAAACACGCTTGGTTATATAATTCCTACAAAGATAATGTCTTTATTTTTCCTTTCTGAATTAATATTGATGCATCACTAAGTGTATTGAATTTCTGGTGAATCAAACATGATACATAAAAATACACTACCACCAAAAAAGGAAACAAGTCTAAACTATAATATTTTTGATATGGATGTTTAAAAGCTGTATTAAAAGCTGAATCCTTTAGAAGGTAATACCAGCTTGGCTGCAATTGTCATGTATTCTTTTATAGAGGCTTTAAAATAAGCATGCCAGATTTGTGATGTTAGCTGTCTTCCCTCTGGCAAACTCCTGTATATAAACTTCATGCTGAAGTAACCATCAGTTCAGTGTGGTAAATAAGCCTGTGATTTTGTGGGTTTTTTTTTTAATTTAAATTGTCCTTTTAGAACAGCTTTACTGTGCTGCAAGGTTTGGTTTTTTTGTTTGTTTATTTTAAACCCAGGGAATTTAGTTATTCCAGAGGGAAATAAGTTAAGAAAAATAAGGGAACCAAATTATTTCACACATTTATGTCAGATACCTTGGGTTTTCTTCATTAAAACAAGTGTATGTAAGAAGAGATGATGTGGTAAGAATTAATAGACATGCTTTTTAAGTTTTGATCACTCCATGTGGCTCTTCAGAGAGAAAAATACCACTTTTAAAGGTGTCTTTTAATGCAGCAGAGATAGGTATGTCAATAAGAAGTTGCTAGGAGTTAGAATCATACAAATGATTGTAATAATAAGACATAAGTAAGAAATAAGGAAGTATTTTTATTTTAAACACTAAGGATGATTATCTTCTCTGAAAACTACTGAGAAAAACAGTAGATTCTCCATTTCTTGATGACTTGAAATCAAGACTGGATTCTGGGTTGCAGTCTAGGCTGGTAGAATAAGCTGTTAAAATCCATCTCCTGCGAACTTCTTAACTCCTTTCCTGGCACTGCTGACTCCTTCCTAAGGGCCACAGCTCTGAGCACATCTGCAACCAGCTCAGGCTCAAAGTCAGATTAAGACTCTGTCCCTGCCTCCCGTAACACACACCCTTTTCCACACCAGCATAGGGTTTCCAGAAGGCCTTATATGAGGTATTTAAAGCAGAAAGGGGCAGTTTTAATCTGAGCCAGAACAGGGATAGAGGCTGAAGAAGCTCCACAGAGCAGCTGAAGTGCGTGGGCAAGACCCTATGTGTGGGAATGGTGCTTCCCAGAGTAGTGCCGGGGTTATACATCTTACTGTGGGACCTGTCCTTGCTGCATCAGGGGGAAAGGGAGATGTTGGCTCTGCAGCATGTGAGCATGTTCTTGTACTTGTGTCCATGCAGTGTTTAATGTTATCTCTTTCTCAGGTCCTGTTGTGGCCAAGAGGTAGCATCTGACAGTGAATTGGTGGTACACAAATGCAGAAGTCAGGCAAAGCTAAAATCTTTGGTTGCAAGGGAAGAATTTGCTGATATTTATTGCTGTAATAATAAAAAAAAAAAGAATCATTAAAGCTGAACTGTGTTTCTTAGAGAACGTATTAAAAGTGAAAATAATATTTTTCTGGTTAATTCCTTTTTCCAATTGCAGGTTCAGTGAGTGAGAAGCTGCCACAACGAGAAGGTACAGGAAAAACAGGTAAATATCTCAGTTGGCCTTTAAATGGAGACTTAAATAGCTGTGGGATACACCACTGTGATTTTCTGTAGGCGTAAATTATCCATATGTATTCATAATATATTATATATGCATATGTAATACATATACATACGTGCTGTTCATTTTTATGTCTGCATTGTAGGTATTTAGTAAATTCATGAGTATGAATATATATGTATGTATTTGTCTATATATTCATAGACATATTTTTCTAATCTCAGCACTACAGACTTTGCTATTCTGTGCTGTTTGGAAAATAACTTTTCTTTTCATAGGTATACTCTGAAATATTTTCCCATACTGTTTACTTGCCCTGGAGGACAGATTATTCTGTCTGTTTGATAATGACAGCATTCTGCAGTCCCAAAATCTCAAGAACTGGAGTCCTTGCTTTATTTCCATAGTAATCAGTGCCTGAGTCATCTTGGACCCAGCACTTTGCTCTATATTTCGATTAATTCATCTGTTGGCTTATATTCATAGCCAGACGATTGTTGTTGCTAGAGATAGATCATGGTGTGTATCTTGTTGGCAGGACAAAATCTGATGCGACTCCAACATAGCTGGTAGATTTAAATGAGAGAGATGTCTATGCTTTAAACAAATTTGAAGCTTACACTCTCCAAACACTTAAAAAAAAAAAAAAAATCAGCTGAAAATAACATACTAAATTTTGGTGTCAGTTACAGTGGGATAAATTAATTTTAAAGAAATTACTCATATTTGTGCTAATGTTAATGACTACTTGATTTATTGTAAATATAATTTATTTTTTTTTTTACAGGAAATTTTGCAGCATTGTAGTATACCCAACATTTAAATAACCTATTGCACTGTTAGGTTAAAAAAATCAGTACTTCTTTAAAGGCTAATGGTTACAAAGTACTGACAAATTGTTCCTTCATGTATTTCCAGACAAATTATGGGTTTTACTAACTTTAAGTTACCTGTTCGCTTTCGGTCAGGACTTTCATTTTCAGCTTTAAGCTGAATGAACTATCCCATATATAAAACTTGTCTGGAATCCTTTATTTTTGTTTGTGACAGCTGAGCTACTGAACCCTGAGTGAACGGTCATAGAACAAGGAGCTTAAATAAACACAGTTTATCAAGTCTCCCTTCACACCACATGTATTCATGTCTATTCGTATTCATTGAGGACTCTGCTCAAGAGACAGCATAGACTTAGCCTGAGACAGTCTTTTCTTCCAGTATGTCCCACACAGACTCACAGGAGAAGATGACCTGGCAGGCCATATCTGTTGCAGTTGTGCTGTTCACTTTCTCTGGGTATTCCAATACTGAAAGAAAATTTACAGCTGCAGACTTGGGAGGCCAGGAGTTCTGTTTGCAAGTTTGCACAGAAAACTGAACAGGAATAAAGCTTAAAAGAGAATTCCTAACATATCTTCCATAGTTCCCCAGTTCCCTCCTCTATCCAAGGAAAATATTCAGACTATCTGAAAAGCACAGGTGGCAGAGATGACATCACATCCCTCTTTTTCTGATTCTTAGCTAACTGCAGGGCTATGTTCTTGATGACTGAATTCTGATAGAACAACAGAATGGTTTCTGTTTAAATATATTCACATATGCACTGGTATGCATGCCCCAGCCAGGAAGACTTATGAAGTTAACCTATAAGATACCTAGCTAACATGAAGATGAACTGCTGTATGGTTGTGACTTTCTAGTGAATGTTGTTTTGAACAATGAAATGGCACATACCTCTCCATTCTTATCAGGAAAGTTTTTTATGAAAAGGTGATGTACCTTGCAGTGTGCAAACAGAAAATTAATGTGGGTATCTTCCTGCATATTAAGGGTAGTTCAGGAGCTGTTACAGCTCATCCCATTCTGGAGTGAACTTAATACCTTTTAGATTATATAGATGTCCTGCTCCAAATGTTTGATTCATTGATGACCAAAAGCAAACTTCTTTCTTTCTTTTGCTGGGGGGTTGGGGAGGGGCGGTGGCAGTGCAGAATCTGAGGCCAGTTTCATGACTCAACTAGTAAACATCTGTTGAGTTTCTAAAAAATGTAAAAAAAACACCCAAAAAACGGTTTTAGATGCTGCTTGAATAAAGTTCAAGAGGTTAATTTTGATTGGGCTGATAACCACTAAAGTTGCAGAATTATATCTGTATTTCAGGTAATAACATAAGACCAAAGGTGTCACAAACTGAAATTGTGTACCAAAAGAAAATGTTAAATATTATTTAAACCCAAACCCAAGTTTCTGTCTGGATTCTTGGTAATATTTACCTACTGTAAACTACCCCCTGAAATTCTGGGTTTTTTGAATTACATACTGATTGATGATCTAAATGTATATCTTGATTCTCAGTACACTAGAATACTTGATGGCCTCTCTGAAATTAATCAATGGTCTTATTCCACCACCCAGAGGATGCCATAAAAATGCCAGCAAAACTAACGAGAAGCGACAGTCTGTTATGGCATCGGAGCAAATTTTCCTGTCATTACGTGGACATGAAGAATGCACATTCTTAAAAGGAGTCTCCTTATGCTTTGGTTAAAACATTTTGCAGTGAAAATAAGTTTCTATTGCTGCTGCTTTGGTTTTGTGAAAAGCATGGAGGTTAGTGTTCCATGTCTGCATATTTGGTTTTATCTGCTATTGGTATTTACTTGGTATCTGTGTTTGCTGTGAACTAGACTGTAGCCTCCAGAGAGGAAGGTCAGAGTGCCTCCAGATCCTCTGCATGATTTGCATAAAGACAATACAGATTGACAGAAAAAAACCTGTAACAAGAAAGAGAACAGGAGGATGCTTCTCTGAATTGCAATAGCAAGAAGAAATGGAAATGGCTAGTGTGTTAGCCTTAAGGCTGCTGCTCACTGTAACTCTGGTAGGACTTCATACAAGAGGAAGCTTCTCAGTTACTTTCAGTTCTAGCTTCTATGAAAATGCCAGGAAAACAACGAGGAAACTATGCTGGTCTGAGATCCAATTGTGAAACTGCAATAAAATCTTGCATGGAAGATGCTGTTTACTGCCGGACATCTTGGTCTTGGAGTTAGCTCTATGCTACAGGAAACAGCAGTGACTGGAAAATATGTACTAGCAAGGCATGATAAGTCATATTTACCCAGTATCTGCAATCATTTTAAGCATTGAAAATGTAATAAGGTAAAGAAAGGCCTTTGGGTACCGCTTTTTCTCACAGAATGCACACTGAAATTATTTTTGTATTGAATTTTTCTTTTCCAGCACTGTGTTTTACTAAATGTAAAATTACGCATATCCTCTCATCATTTCTGTAAATTTTCCTCCCTCTTTTGTTGCAGTAATGGTTGGTAGTGGATGGATGGATATGGCTGACCAGAGGATAAGAATTACACAAACAATATTCTGGTTCTTTAATCTGTGAATCTTGCTTCTAAAATCAGCTTGACTTAAACAGGTCCTGCTGTGCTGAAATAAACTTTCCTTTCATTTTAGGGTGTCAACTTTCTACAGCCACTTATTCATCCCAGACTGCTTTTGCTTTCACAGGTCTTCCGCTTTCTATAAATTTATATAATTACTTCTTTAGAAATGCTGATTTGATCAGCTATAAGCTATAGGTATCAATGTGCAGCATTAAAAACAAAGAATTACTGTCCAGGGAGTGACCTGATCGCTTCATCAAAGACCCTGCAATCATTTCATCAGCCATAACCTCAGAAGCCATCCATTTATAATCCATAGTCTGTAGGTGTAATATATCTATGCTGTGAAGTACCTATAAATAATGTTTAAATTATTGTTTGTTTACTGGCCGGGGCTATGTGCAAATCATTAGTATCAGTCATGTATGTACACTTATTTAGCTTACTCTCATAATTGTAGTCTCCTTGCAAATCTTTTCCATTCTGAATTCAGATGATGCCTCAGCTCCTGCACTGGAGACTCAGCCTCAAGGTGATGAAGAAGGTGAGAATCAACAGAAAATTAACAGTGCTATATTGAACTATACAGTATGGACCATATATGACAATGTCAAATGCTACCTCAGAGTTAGGACAACTGCTGGAGCAGTTGCAAGAAAATGCAGGAAATTGAAAGCATCTGTACCTTTTACCAGATAAAGACAGCAAACACAAGAGTCTTTACTTAGAAGCAATAAATTTCATGTGATAGTTTTGAGGTGATGCTTTAGATATGGAGTCCAACATTAGCAAATTTAATCGTCACTACTCAGGGCACAGACAGATTTTAAACTTGAGCCAGAATGCAGATTAAAACTGTATGGCCAAATAAGGAAGTTAAAGGGTAAATTCTGTCCTCGGCATGTTGCCTAGTAATGTTAAGGTTGATGTTTTGTCAGGCTTATTTACCTCTGGGGAAATTGCTAAAGGCCTGCATGCAATGACAGTCCTATATTGTGGCTGCCTTACCACTCACTGCAAATCTCACAGAATGTGATCTGTATTTTGGGTCCATACTGGGAGATTTTCATTCCAATTAAATGTAATTTTATTCTACAAGTATTTATTTCAACCTTTTGCATGAGTGGGATAAGGAAGGAACTATTCATGCATGAATAAAGAACTATTGCATGAATAAAGAAACTGTCCTAATAGAAAGTAATATGCACTTTTCTTTTTTAGATTCATGTATCTTTAAAGCTAGCTACTTACTATTCAGCTGCTATTAACTTTTTAAAAAATTGTAACATTTACAAACTTTATTCTGTTGGTTTTTTTTCCCTAGATATAGCTTCTCGTTATCCTACCTTATGGACTGAGCAAGTAAAGAGTAGACAAAACAAAACCAATAAAAGCTCAGGTAAGAACTTGTGTTGTCCTTAATTTGCAAAGCTCCTTTTAAGACATGCATTAAGCCTTGTTAAAATGGAAGCCATTTAAGTGAAAGCTATTTTAATAACTATTATTCTTCTATTCTCATCATACGATAGTGACTTACAGATTTGCATTGTGATGATTTTGTAGGCTTGTGTGTCAAACGTTCCTTTTAGATGAAAATATTTTCAGCCAGGCTTTACTAGGTGTAAATTGATGTTACTCCACTAAAGTCTCTGGCTCATGTCTGTTCACATCTGTGAGTGGATCTGACATTTGTTTTTTGCATTCTCTTTAATTCTCTGCCTCTTTGTTATCTGCTTCTATTTTCTTTTTTTGGGGGGATGATATGTGGCAAGAAGGTGCTTGGAAAATGACAGTATGGGTTACATGTGTTTGGTGGTTAGGAGGAAAAGCTGAAAGGAAGCAAACTCTGATCAGAAACCAGCTGTCAGTTAATAGGAAATTGGAAAGACAGTGTTACTTGGTTTTTGCTACATAATTAATCTGGTATTTACAGACTGATCATCAGTTTAGTGTGAATTAATTATGTTGCCTTTTTTATAATTGTTGAGTTTTGGCTTTTTTTTTTTTTTTTTCACAACTGTCAGAATCGAGCTTTATAAGCCTGGGCTAGGAATGTCAGGTGAATATCCCAAGACTGAAGCCTCTAAAATATTCAGGTACATTCAGTGCTTTGGTGGACTATAGGTTTTGATGGCTTACTTGCTGTTCCTTCCTTTCAGCGGAGTACACTGTAGAGAATATTCTTGAGTTTGCTGGTTTCTTTTTCTTGGGAAAAATGTTTAATTTGAAAGGAAACATTAATGTTACAGGCTATAACTCAGTAAATCACCCAAAAGCACACTTCAGATCCAGTGGATATTGAGATTGTGTTTTATATGAAGTCCTGTGCTGAAGTATTTTACTGAATTGAGGCCCAAATGGATTTAAAAAGACAAACAATCTCCATTAGTAAGATGGACATCTCCTGACTAAGACCTTTACAGATTCCTTTATATAAGCTATTTTTAACATCAAAGCAACAATTATTAATACTTTTTCCTCTCCTTGATGCTCCAGGAGGCACTTAAGGAAAGGACATTAAACAGAGTGTAGACAGGAGTTTTAAGCAAACACTTTCCTTGCTGGAGATTTATTCTGTCATTTGTTTAGTCAGTGTTAGCAAGAACAGAATTCCTTTGGGATTTCTGTTGTGTAAAATCCATGTATAGAAACATGTCACTTTTAGGAGTGTTTATTTAATTTTTACAGTGCTAGAGACTATATCTAAAGCAAGAATTTTTGAGTTTGCACTGCAGCTGCTGGAAACCAAAGCTGCAACACACACAAAATAAAATTAGTAAAACACTAAAGAAAAGGTAGATTTATTACTGCAAACTTGTAACCTCCTGTTCATCTAAAGACATATTAACAAACGAATAGAAACCAGAAACATAGTGTACCTGTCTTATGATTGGTAGCCCATGGTACATTAGCATCAAGGGCATGATTGTGTTGGATATGCTAACAACAGGACTTGCTAACAACTATGCTATGTTCAGGGGACCTCTGGATGGCTAGCATGTACTACAGTCTGTGGTGCCATACTCGGACTAGGAGAAGTAAGTCAGCAGACACTACATAGAGAGCTTTGCTTTAATTTGTAGGCATACCTGATGTGCCAAAAGGGACCTCTGCTCTCTCTGTTGTAACTTCTCTTGTATATGTAATATGACATAATCAAGATGAATTTAGGTGCTAAAAACAGTGTCTTCACCAGTTGCACTATGTGGTGTCTCTCTTCCAGGCTCCAAAAATATAATTGTGTCAGTGAATGTGTATTTGTAAATTGTTTTCATGGCTGAGCCTGACTGATATTCAGTAAACAGGTCTTTTAAGGTCTTGAAAAAACTAGGTTAGATTTCCCCATATTACATCTCAAGTGGTGCCAAAGCTTTGGGGAACATCAATAGAGAATGAGCTCTGGACTGCTGCATGTGTGGAATAGGAAGGACCTCGTGACTGAATCCACTGGGTTGTAAGTCCTAGAATCATAGAATGATTTGGGTTGAAAGGGACCTTAAAGATCATCCAGTTCCAACCCCCCTGCCATCAGCAGGGACGCCTTCCACTAGACCTGGTTGCTCAAAGCCTCATCCAACCTGACCTTGAACACTTCCAGGGAGGGGGCATCCACAACTTCCCTGGGTAACCTGGGCCAGTGTCTGACCACCCTCACAGTGAATAATTTCTTCCTAATATCTAAATCTACCGTCTTTCAGCTTAAATCCACTTCCCCTTGTTCTGTCATTAACTGCCCTTATGAAAAGTCCCTCCCCAGCTTTCTTGTAGACCCCTTCAGGTACTGGAATGTCGCTATAAGATCTCCCTGGAGCCTTCTCTTTTCCAGGCTGAACAGCCCCAACTCTCTCAGCATGTCCTCGTAGGAGAGGTGCTCCAGACCCTCGGATCATCCTCGTGGCCTCCTCTGGACTCGTTCTAACAGGTCCAGATCTCTCTTGTGATGGGGGCTCCAGAACTGGACACAGTGCTCCAGGTGGGGCCTTATGAGAGCAGAGTAGAGGGGGAGAATCACTTCCCTCAATGTGCTGGCCACGCTTCTCTTGATGCAACCCAGGATACGGTTGGCTGCATCAAGAAATGAACCACCTTTGGACACCCAGACTTCAATATAAGGGATAAATACAGATGTCTTCTTTACTCAGTTTGCTTAGCAAACTCTGATTCACACTTGGTCATACTAGCACCAGAAAGCTTATTGAAATGTATTTGAGTAAAATGAGGAGAATTTATGTCTTCATATGAGCTGTGTTTATAAAGGAAAAGATGATAGCCAATTTCTTGATAATGGGCTATATTTTCCTTTGTTGTTCTGTAGTAACCAAAGTGCTTGTAAATAAATTATTCAGGTGCAATAGGTTCTGTAGACCTAGCCCTGTCTGTAGAAAATAATGAAAGAAAAACAGTAATGCTAAAAATTTCAGGCAAACTCCAAATATCCAACTTAAAAGCTGACTATTTTAGTATGTGTTGCTTTTATTTTTTCTGGTTTTTACCTGAATATATGTTCTAATATGTCATGGTCAACAAGTCATGCTTATAAAGAAACTTGTCTTGACCTGAGAAATTAATCTCCTTAGGAGAATGTTTTTGTGAGTTAAAGATCACAAATTAATACATTAAATTTATTGCACTCATCCTGAAGTGGTTTCCTTTTGCTACTCTGATATGACCTGCCAGTTACAATTAGCCAGTAAAATCAGCATAAGCTTTTAGGTTTTGGAAGATAGAAAATAATGGCTCAGGAAATTCTAGTTTATATTAGTTGCCCAGTGCTTTCATTTGATTGAATCAGCCTAAATTAATTTAGCACAGAGTAATGGCATTTGGGAGACTTACACATGCAGGGCATGAAATTACTGGATTAGACATCCATGCTCTATAGTGACTTCTGGTACATATTGTTTTTGTTGGTTCAGAGAAATAAGCCTTTTCTACTCAGTAAAGGAGTTTGTAGAGTGGTATTTAACCTATTAGCTTTTGATGACAGAATGTTACTGCTGGCAAAAACCCCATCAAGATCAGGTCGTATAATAATATTTCTGTTTAAAGTGTTGGATTTGAGTAGAAACATCTTCCTTTTAGCTCTTTTTGTATGCTGAAGATGATTTTCAAAAATTTTTAAAATACTTTTTCTGTCAAGAATTAGAAAAAAGTATGCATCTTGTTGCTAAAATAACATAATGTTTACTGAGGTTATGTTTTATTCGTATGACTTTGCAGGTATTTTGCAAATTTTTTATTTCTTATGGATTTTTTTTTACCCCCACACTCCTCATATCTTCCTCTGTTTCACAGAAAATATTGTAGGTTTGCCACATCTGAGTGATAAAAATAAGAATTAAAACAACAGCTATAAAAAATTAACAGAAATGCATTGAGAATACTGAACGTGGGACTATATAAGTTCTGGTTAAGACATCAAAATGTAGCAGCCTACATGCTGCTGTCTGTATGTGAAGTCAGAGTCTAAATTCCT